GTGTTGGGAGCGTTTTGGATGTTCAAAACGTAGCTTAAATACCTTTTATTAATTTTAACTGCATCCTCTTTTATCTGTTTTATTTAAACTTATTTGCCTTCCATGGACCTCCATCACACATTTTTCTAGTGGGGAAATGACATCAATAGAAACACGTGGAGCTGGATTTTAATTTGTGCAATAAGACAAAACAGTCTTGTTGTTTTCAACAGTTTTCACTTTAAAGAAATAAGTTAAAAAAACTGATGTTACAATACAAAGAGTTGGATGTTGTCTTTGTTAAATTTTATATATTGCGAAACATGTTAAATAAAAAATAAATAAATAAAAGTTTATTATTGAAAAACAACACACAAAGTGACGAAATTAGTACCGTTAAGTACTGGTATCGATTCCCAGGTACCGGATATTGGTACCGAATGGATTCAAACGTCAAAGGTACCATCCCTTTGAAGCTTCAAAGTCAGTTGTGGCATATTGTCTCATCGTGGCAGCAGTGCACAGGGGCGGAGCTAGACTTTGTTTGAAAGGGGTGGCTATGGTGTTATTTAGGGGGGCACATGTAAAGAAAACTACCCTGGATTTGACTGGTAACTGACTTGACCTTATATAGAGCACTTTATTAAGTCCCTCCAGACTCCAAAACACTTTATACTTCAATCATTCACTCTCTATACACACATTCACACACTGATGTAAGGTAAGCTACATTCTAGCCAAAAAAAAAAAAAAGTTGAATCCTAGTCACACTTTTTGAGAGCTATGATCACAAACATACAAAAGTGGACTAAAAAATTGTTACCCCTCGTTAAATGAAAGAAAAACCCACAATAGTCACAGAAATAACTTGAATCTGACAAAAGTAATAATAAAAATTCTATTAAAATGAACAAATGAAACTGTTTTATGAACTCATAAAACAGGCCTGGACAGAAATGATGGTACCCCTGAAAATAATGTGACCAAAAGGACAAATGAAACCTTTTGTGTCACAGGTGTCTACAATCTTATAATCAGTCAGTGGGCCTGTATATAGGGCTACATACACATACTCACAGTGCTGTTTGGTTACATGGTGTGGAGCACTCTCAACATGGACCAGAGGAAGAGAAGAAAAGAGTTGTCTCAGGAGATTAGAAAGAAAATTATAGACAAGTATGTTAAAGGTAAAGGTTATAAGACAARYATGTTAAAGGTAAAGGTTRTAAGACAAGTATGTTAAAGGTAAAGGTTATAAGACCATCTCCATGCAGCTTGATGTTCCTGTGACTACAGCTGCACATATTCAGAAATTTAGGATCCATGGGAYTGTAGCCAACCTCCCTGGTCGTGGCCGCAGGAGGAAATTGAAGACAAATCAAAGAGAAGGATAACAAGAATGGTTACAAAAGAGCCCAGAAAATCTTCTAAAGAGATTGAAGGTGAACTTCAAGCTCAAGGAACATCAGTGTCAGATCACACCATCCGTCATTGTTTGAGCCAAACTTGACTTAATGGGAAGACGACCAGGGAGGACACCAAATCATTAAAAAAAAAATATACACCAGACTGGAATTTTTCAAACTACTTGTTGACAAGCTACAAAGCTTCTGGGAGAATGTCCTGTAGACAGGTGAGACAAAATGGAACTTATTGTCAAAACACATTAGCTCTATGTTCACAGAGGAAAAAAATGAAGCATAGGAAGAAACTGTYCCTACTGTGAAACATGGAGGAGGTCTGTTATGTTCTGGGGCTGCTTTGCTGCATCTGGCACAGGGGGTCTTGAATCTGTGCAGGGTACAATGAAATCTCAAGACTATCAAGGATTCTAGAGAGGAATGTGCTGCCCAGTGTCAGAAAGCTTGGTCTCAGTCGCAGGTCATGGGTTTTCAACAGGATAATGACCCAAAACAGCTAAAAACAGCAAGAATGGCTGAGAGGAAAACACTGGACTGTTCTGAAGTGGTCTTCTATGATTCTGACCTAAATCCTATTGAGCAGCTTTGGAAGGAGCTGAAACATGTCGTCTGGAGAAAGGGAACCTTCAAACCTGAGTTGTGCAACAAAATATGATAAAGATAAGGGCACCATCATTTCTGTCCAGGCCTGTTTCATGAGTTTTTATTTATTTATTTTTTAATCCTGTTGAAGCTTGGCTGAAAAGTAATGTCTGACTTTCATTTGTTCCTTTATTTATTATTACTTTTGTCACATTCAAGTTATTTCTGTGACCATTCTGGGTTTTTATTTCATGAAACGAGGAGTAATAATAGTTTTGTCCATGTTTGTGTATAGTACAGTCAAAACATAAAATTTAATTTGGGGACCACATCACAGTATCTCAATGAACTTTTCTAGTTTCTCCATGTCATTGCTCTGTTACAGACTTGCCTAGATGTCACCTGAATTTAATTAAACCCAGAATTATTATACACAACTGTTGATTTGTATTAATCATCTGTTCGGAAAAGTTTTTGTTTCTTTTACACACTAATATGTTCCCTCTAAACAAGTTAATACTGCTGCTTGACAAATATTTACTGTTTTTTACTCTAACTGACCATCTTTTTTTGCCACATGCAACCCCCACCCCACTTGTCAGTCATTTGGACAATCTCTGCAGACGAGTATGTGTTTCCAAAGGAAAGCTTTTTTCAAGGGACACACCTGATTAGATTATCGTTGCTTAGGCATTTCTTCATATCATTACCTTATTTTTCTAGCATCTGACTTGTATTTATTTATTTATTTAATTTCACAAACTTGCTGTTGTAACCAAGAAGAATTGGGAATAATAACGGCCGGCAGATTGCTAGCTGGACCTAATTATGTTTATATGAAGATGTCACCAGTGTCAGACCCGACGTCTTCATTCATTATTTCCTCTTGACAAAGAATCCCAGTTACATTTCAAAATAAGAGCAATTTTTCTAAAGATATTTAAAAATAGGGAGGGCTAAATGTTTGTTTTTAATGATGCATTGCCATTTCATAAAAAAAAGTTTTGGCTGCTAAAATTAATGTGAAAGTAGTTAAAGTCAAAAGTGAAAGAAATACAAACAGCAAAAACAACTACAGGGTTCCTGCAGATCCTTAAAAAGTCTTAAGGCATTGAATTCATCGATCGAAAAATAAGGCTTTAATTAGCCTTTAAATGTCTTAAATCAATTTTTCAGAAGCCTTAAAACTGTTAACACATTGTAAATAGGATGATTATAATTC